CTCTAAGGCTTGTCACCTCGTCCCCTTAAAGGCTCTCCCCTCAGCTTCCGAAACTGCCACTCTGCTCACCAGACATGTTTTCAGGCTGCATGGAATCCCTATTGAGATCCTTTCAGATCGAGGTCCCCAGTTTGTCTCCAGAGTCTGGAGGGACTTTGCCACCTGCCTCGGGGCCAAGGTCGCCCTCACCTCCGGGTACCACCCCCAGTCCAATGGTCAATGCGAAAGGATGAACCAGGAACTGGGGGCCATGCTTCGTTGCCTTTGTTCGTCCAACCCCTCCCACTGGAGTGTTGAATTACCCTGGGTCGAGTATGCCCACAACTCTCACATCTCATCCTCCACCGGTTTGTCACCTTTCGAAGTTTCACACGGTTTTCAACCCTGCTTGTTCCCTTCCGAGTTTCCCTCCTCTGTAGTCTCCGTCCCCCAGTTCCTGAGGCGCGCCAAGCGCACGTGGTCAGCTGCGCAGAAGGCTCTGCAGAGGACTGCCGCCCGCAACCAGCGCCTGGCTGATCGACGCCGTAGGCGGGCCCCAGACTATGCGCCTGGTCAGCGCGTCTGGCTGTCAACCCGAGACATCCCTCTCAGGGATCATTGTAGGAAGTTGTCTCCCCGGTACATCGGCCCCTTCACTGTCTCCTCCGTTATCAACCCCTCTTCCGTTCGCCTGGAGCTGCCCTCTCATATGAAGGTTCACCCCGTTTTCCATGTTTCCCTCCTTAAACCTGTCTCCTCCAGTCCTCTCTGTCCTCCTCCTCCGGATCCGCCTCCTCCTGTTCAGTTGGCTGATGGGGGTCTCGGTTTCCGGGTTCGGCGTCTCCTGGACGTTCGGCGCCGTGGCCGTGGTCGCCAATACCTGGTGGAATGGGAGGGCTACGGGCCCGAACACAGGCAATGGGTGCCTGGGTCTTGGATTGTGGACCCCTCGCTCGTCCGGGATTTCGAGGCGGCCCGGGCTGCCTCCTCCTCCTCCTCCGCCTCCTCTGTCTGGACGCCGGGTGGCGTCCCTTGAGGGGGGGATACTGTCACGGTCTGGGGGTGTCATCTTTCTCTGATTTACTTTTTGAGCTTCCTTTCCTCTGCAGGTGGGCGTGTCCGGTTGTGGGGAAGTTGCTAGCAGCTGCAAGCAATCCACTCATCACCTGCCAGGGGATATTTAAGCACCTGAGAGGCGGCTTCACTTTGCTGGATGATTAACTCTACTTGGGTACTCAACTAACAGCCGAACAACTTGTATCTCCTAGTGATTTGACTTTTATCTGGATTTTGAGCTCTTCATGATTTTTGACCACTTGTCTTCCTACCTTTTCACCCAGACATCCTGTTACAATAACTACCTGGTCAACCTGCCATTCGCCTCTCAGCGTCCTCCCATGGTCTCCCCCACGCCGGCTCCCCACCTTCCTCCTGGATCTCCTGCTCAGTAATTGCTCAGCTCCCTCCTCGCCTGGACTCTCAGCTTCCTCTAACTCAGTAAGCCATCTGCTTCACCCCCAGACCAGACAACCAACCTCTCCCGAACATTCTAACTGAACCTTCAGACCGTAAGTCTTAACTGATCCATTATTCCCATTTTTCTGCAACCAGTCCTGACATTTTTTCGTCCTTCAGACTCCCCCCACCAGATCCCAGCAGTCCAGCCTGACATTTTGTTCCTGCAATATCTCCTTTATAATAAATCATTATTTAACTCTAATTCTGACTTGTGGATTGATTCTGTATGTCGTGGGTTAGGCATATACCACCGACCATGACACAGTCTGCGTAGACGCTAAACCCCAGTGTGATTTCAGCAGTGGTTTGCAGATTCCACCAAATTACAACCCACCTATCCGTTGTGGGGGTATTCACATTACAACCCTTCTCTAGTTTTTTACCTCTCTTAGTTTTATCTCTCAGTTTAATCTCAGATTGCTATCCGCTTTAATGTGGCTGCACATCGCTTCCTATCGCAGTGCTGCAAGCAAGCAAGTTGCCATCATCTATCTATCTACGTCAGCGTACATCTCACGTACCTATTTGATGCAGCAAGCAAATGCGTTGGGTCGCAAGCCCAACATGTCCTTGTTGCATAACTCAACGCACTTCAAAGTAAACAGCGTTAAACAGAATCTGTCAAAACCTTCCTGTCGGCAACTGCAAAAGGAGTGTGTGCCTATGCCAACGGCTGGCCGCTTTAACGCAGCGCTGGTTATTTTGAGGTAAACCTAGCAGGCTATGGTCCAGCGACTCTCAGTTCCAGTCTTTATGCCGGGGCAAGAAACGTCTTTCGTGCGAGAATGGCAAATACTCCACAAGCATGAAACACACTGTCAATCGATTGATAGTAAAAGGGTGCTATTAAATCAGGTACTTACTCTTCCTCTGCGTGGCGTCCTGAGTCCGGTAAGCGAGAGCCGTAGGCGGAAGATCGCCTGCGGAGCTAAACAGCTGGTTGGTGACATGGTGAGTGTTAATCACAAACCCTCAAAAACCCTGGAAAATCTACTTCTAACAGGAAAATAATAAGTTGTTTAATGTGAGGGGCAATCGCATGAGAAGTGACCTCGACCTTCACAGGTCCAGCAAATGGGCTGTTGTGATCGGGCCTGTGAATTGCACCTCTGCCTCTGTTTAGAAATCTTCCTCCTATTTCCCTTCCTGGCTGGGGTGCTTTGTGGGCCTGATCTATCTGGGCTCTCTAGATTGGATGGACAGGCACGTGAAAAAGGACCTTGACCTCCGCAGCTCCAACAAACAGGTGGTTGTGAGCGGCCCAATGAGGACCACTGTCTCTGGTTGCTGTCACGACCATCCCTCTGGGGATTACAACCACCCCTCTGGGAATTAAAACTTTTGCTATAGCTGCCCTGCTGGTAATAGACCACTTCCTTCTCAATGTTATCAGTTAATTCTAGGACGAGTTGTGGGCCTGTTTTAGGAGCTTTTGGTTTATCTTTATTTTGACTGCTAGAACGGGTGTTAGAGATAAAATTTCCCATTGTGCCCAAGTTATTTTGTTTACTGATCTAGTAAAGCAAGCTGGAAGAGCGTTGATAATGTCCAATTCAGCTGGCCGGCTCTCCGGAGGCAATCTCCCAACGAAAGGCTCTGCTATGCCCGTATTCTCCACCAATATGTCAGGTAATTTAATTTATATTATTCTTATATTACCTTAAAGGAAGTCAGAGCTCACACACAGAGGGATTAGATTCTTAATTTGGTAAATTGTAACAAACCTTTAAACAGACAACAAACTCTGCAAAGTGTGACACTCTGCAGAGGGTGAGAATCAAACACCAGACACGATGGCCATTTGTTCTCACAATGAGTTGAAAACTGCAGTGAGTTTTTATTGGCACAAAACACACCCACAAATAGGTGAAACCCCTGTCTGACCAGTTTGCTTTAACTAATGGAAAAACACCTCGAGCCGAAAGGAGTTTCTGAAAACACCCAAACGTAAACAAGTAACTAGGTCAGTGTTTTTCCTAACAACATTTAAGCAGCAAGGGTGAATGAACTCTTCACATAGACAAAGGAAAAGATTTCACAACAAAGATGAACAATTAAAAATACCTATCACTCGGGGTCTTGTTCACGAGTGAGGGTAGGAGGGATCGGGAGATCGACAGGCGGACTGGTTCGGTGTCCGCAGTGATGCGGAGGCTGAGCCGATCTGTCGTGGTGAAGAGGGAGATGAGCCAGAAAGCCAGGCTCTCAATTTACTGGTCAATCTACGTCCCAATCCTCACCTATGTTCATGAGCTTTGGGTAATGACCGAAAGAACGAGATTGCGGATACAAGAGGCCGAAATTAGTTTCCTCCGTAGGGTGGTCGGGCTCAGCCTTAGAGATAGGGCGAGGAGCTCGGACATTCGGGAGGGACTCGGAGTAGAACCGCTGCTCCTCCGGATCGAAAGGAGTCAGTTGAAGTGGTTTGGGCATCTGGTCAGGATGCCTCCTGGACGCCTCCCTGGGGAGGTGTTCCGGGCATGTCCTGCCAGCAGAAGGCCCCCGGGTCGACCCAGGACATGTTGGAGAGGTTATATCTCCAATCTGGTTTGGGAACGCCTTGGGGTCCTGCCGGAGGAGCTGGTGGAGGTGGCCGGGGAGAGGACGGTCTGGAGCTCCCTAGTTGGGATGCTGCCCCCGCGACCGGGACCCGGATAAGCAGAGGAAGACGACAACGTTTGTTTGGCCCTCTGACTCAGTGTGCATGAGTCCCACGAGTGCTGTGTGGTTGTGTGGTAACAATCTTTATCAGATTTTGCCCCCAGGCTGGGTTAGTATGTGTGCTTTAATACAATTTCATTCCACAGTGATCCTACGTTCCCATCTAGTGCACTCCACTCGTCAGAAATGCAACACAGACAAGGTAGTAATCAGTGGTGGTGCAAAGTTCATGTCCGGTGTGTTCCCCTGGTGGGGTTCTGTAAATAATGCACATCACATAGATAATCTCCACATTCAGCGAGAGAATTTGACTACATTTACTTCACAAGGTGTTTCTGTTTTTCCTCTGTGGGAATTTCTGTTATTCTTGAAGGAGTCAAGAGACTGGATTCTCAGCCGGACAGCACGGGTCTTTTTATTTCATCTGCTCACAGCTTTCAGGACAGCCAAAAGACAAAGACCCCGAACAATCACGGGGTGCCTTCTTTTATAGCCCTCCTTCTTGAACATTCCAGTTCTCTGTCAACAGACGAGAACCAGACCTTAGTACAGACCTGGGCATTTTACGGCCCGCGGGCCACATATGGCCCTTTGGTTGACTTTGACCGGCCCGCGTAAGGTTAATTGGAAATTACAAAATAAATGTATTTTCTCATTTTACCTCATGCATGGGCTAAGGCTGCATTGCTTTTATTTTGAAGTTGTTTTTTACATGCACAATGACGCAATACGTATAGCAACAAGTGCCCGTGGTTGACATAGCCCCAGAAATGTCCGCTCATGCAAAAAAAAAAAAAAAAAGAAAGAAATAAAGATGCCGAATGCAGGATTTTCAACAAAAATTGGACTTTTAAGTATTTTTTTACTGAAGTCGGAGGCAAAGCCGTGTGTTTGGTTTGCGGGGAGGAGATTGCCGTGTTTAAAGAGCAAGTAACGTCTAAATTAACTTTTTTTTGCTGATGAACTGTATAAATGAGTGTCTATTAGTGTTTTAAATGTGTGCATTCTTTATTTTAGCATTTTGGTGCATTTTCTTTAAAAATTAAAAATTCTGTCTAAAAACCACAGTAATGTGCCACCTTCAGCTGAAAACATAGAATTTGAGTCATTTTGAATAAATTTTAGCCAATGGCTAAAGAGTAAAGTACTACGTAAACCAGTAGAGTACTACGTAGCAGCTCCGTGCCAAAGTTATAAAAGCAACGAGCGTCTCGGCCACGCCCTGTGGCGAGTGGGAGTTGGATTTGCAAGCGAGTGTAGGAGGTCAGCGGTAGTTCAGCATTAGCATATAGCATTAGCATATCCTAGTCTTAGCATATCTTTTAGTGTTATAAATACTTATTTAGTGTTAGATTTGGCTGTTGGATATTGTAGTTGAGTTAGTGTTTGGCTGTTAGTGTAATTGGGAAAGTATTTCGGGTTTAGTGCTCCATATCGTCTTAGTATTGGTGAGTAGGTGTAGTGTAGTATGCTTGCGGTGACTCTGTGGGCATTTTACCCGCGATTCTGCACGTCTCTGTTTGAAGAGGGAGGGTGTGCCCACCGTGGCTCTTCCGCGATTTAGATGCAGCCCACCGACTCTGCTCCCCCACCACGGCGGGCTCCAGTCTGAGGTGAGTACGCTAAATAAACGTTTTAACATCTTCTAAAGACAATTCCCTACCTAAATGCAAAGTCTGAGAGACGTGGTTCACTTCCTTTAGCTAGTCAGTCGGCAATTCTGCAACAGTTTCTCTAACTGACGCAGCACTTGACAGACAGCATTACAGCGTGAAATCCAGCTTGTGAACAGGTTCTGTGAGGAATTCTGTTCAGGAGGTCTCCTTTCAGGCTCTCCACATCATATGTGACTGACTTTTACGTTATAATGATCACACACTAGGAATGTTATAAAGCGCCTATATGGGACAGTTTCTTTTGTATATTATCTGACTTTATAAACTCCCAACAACAATGTGCTTATATATTTTTTTCAGGCTAAATCTACCCAAGACACTGGCTGTCAGACTGATTTAGCTGCAAGAATGCACTTGTCCAGGCTGACGTGAAACCTTCCCTGTAGCAAAGGTGAATTATTTTTAATAATCTTCTATGTAAACATTTTATTATTACCTTCTAGTTTTAATTTGTTTTACAGATTATTGTTACACGTGATTTTATGCTCTTTTAAACATTTATAAATGTGCTGCTTCTTTGTTTTTACATAGCCAGCCAGAATGGAGTTCACAGCCGCAGTGTGTCTGGTGACCCACAGGGACCATGATGAAAATTCATCTTCCAGAAGGTCCCAGAGCAGCGGCCACACCCCCTGAAAAGACCAAGGTGTGAGGTGTCTGCTGTTGATTCCAGCTTCCACCTCAGTGACAGTGCAAGCTCAGTGAACTGTTCAAGGTAAAAAAAAATTAAAACATTTCAGAACTTTTAAGATATTAACAATTAAATAAGTATGTGATTACATCATGACAGAGGCTACTGATTCTGCCCCCGTGACACTTGGTGGTGACGTGTGAGCTGATTCACCTGGAAAACAACTTTTACATTAAATATTTTGTTTTTGCTATCAAAAGTAAATTAACTAATAACCTGCATTATTGCAGGACACTCAGCAAAATATGGACTCTACACCATGAGGCAGGTACACGTTAATAACTCTATAAGAGCACATAAGGTGAGCAACACCACATATTGTACACTGTCCTGAATTTGTTTTCTTTCTGCATCTCATTAGCCTGGCTGATCACCTGATAACTCCTGTCATCTGGTCGTGACAGCATGAGGATGTCCTCACACACCTGTAACCTATCAGCTCATCTGGCAGAATAGAGAGAGAAGAGACAACACCACATCTCCTGTTCCTGGAAAGCCTTCAGCCATCCTTTGATGACTGAGAACCTCCATCAGCTCTGTCTCCTGTCTGCCTACAATTATAATAAATATTGTGTTTGACACGTTTTTTTGTGCTGCCAAATATCTCATAGATTCCAGTTTTGATATTTTAATGGATATTTATAAATTACATTAATTGAATTATCACAATGCATGTTTAACTAGCTCTGTTGTGATGAATTAAACTAGCACATCACTGTTAAAAGCTCATTTTAATTTCAAGCATGTTTAAGTATTTATGGACATGAACAAAAACAGGAAATATATAAATTGAGATTTATTTAATTAATATAACAAATAAGGGGGAAAGAGTCATTGAAAGGCACATTCTTCTGGAAGCTCCTGATCCTGACGACACCAGCAGAGACCACCTGCAGACACCAGAGGCCAGCTGCAGACACCAGAGGACCTAGAACCAAGAGAGCAGCTGTTATCAGTAAATAAATAAATCAGGGCAGTTTTAGTGAGCTGAACACATTACAGAATAATTTTCTCATGGGGTATTTTCATAACTTTATGCAGCAGACTGTAACTTGAGCCCAGAGCTACCGGAGAGCTGCTATCCAGCATGTTTCAGTGGATTTTCCTGCTTTAACAGGTTAGATTAACTGTTAAGCAGCTCAGCTATTTGTTGTTGATTAAAACCAGGTGTGCTGAAGCAGATAAACCTCTAAAACATGCTGACTAGCTCTAGGGCCGTGGAGACAAACCCTGCAGCTAATCCAATGCTATGGCTAACGGCTACTTACGTTCAGAGGTGGTTCTGTTGGGTCGGTTCTGGTAGTTACAGGCAACTCACAAGCTCACAACAATAAGGCTCAGGTCCGCTTGTCTCCTCCAAATAGACTTGGTCCCTTTCTTCTCGACTGTCTGGGTAAGGAGGGGGAGAAACATCCTCCACTTCTAATAACTGCTCAGAGTGAAGGGAGATAGCATCGTCTAGTTAGCCGTCGTCTTCGTCACTGCCGCGGCTCCGCCCTCTCAGTCCTCCAGGCAACGCCTACTAATGTTGCATTTTTTAAAATTGATATGTGGGTGGAGAAGGACTCCGAGGCTCAATTGACCCGCTCTTTAAGGACTACAATTTGAGTCGGCATTACGACAAGAAACACTCGGAAAAATACAAGAACTTGTCTGATGCTGAGAGGGCACGGACATCCGAAGCTTTGCTAGCAAAGTTGCAAAAGCAACAAGGCTTTTTTTTACTAAGCTTCACACATCCAGGGATGCAGCAACCAGGACCAGCTTTGTGATATCCCACAAAATAGCCAAAAACAGCAAGCCGTTTTCGGAGGGAGAGTTTGTCAAAGAGTGCATGGTGGACTCTGCCGCACTAATATGCCCTGAAAAAAAGGCGCATTTGAGCAAATCCCGCTGTCCAGGTGAACCGTGACCAGGAGGACCGAGGACATTGTGGGGAACCTGGAGCTTCAGCTGCAACGTGAAGTGGCAAGTTTTGACTTTTTCTCATTAGACGAGAGCTGTGATGTCCGCGACACAGCCCAGCTGCTCGTATTTGTCCGCGGATAACAATCAATCAATCAAAGCTTTATTTATAAAGCGCCTTCCGCAACCCTGTCAGGAAACCCAAGGTCCGGGGGATAACGGAGCTCACAGAGGAGCTGGCAGCAATGCGGTCGATGAAAGGGACAACGACAGGGAGTGATCTTTTTACAGAGGTAAATGCGTGCATGGACTCTCTGGGATTGAAATGGGAGAGACTGTCAGGTGTCACAACAGACGGTTGTCCAAATCTTACAGGGGAAAATGTCGGACTTTTGAAACGCATGCAAGATAAAAGTGACAGAAATCGATGCAGATCAAAAATTGGTATTTTTGCATTGTATTATACACCAACATGTGTTGTGCAAGTCAGTGCTAAAAATCAAACATGTTACTGATGTTGTTACTAAAATAATAAACTTCATCAGGGCGCGGGCAATGAATCACAGAAAGTTTGTGGCTCTTTTGGAGGACTCCACACAGCTGTCAGATGGCTCAGCCTGGGGAAAGTGCTGAAGAGGATTTGGGACTTGAAAGCAGAGATTCAGGATCTCTGCTGGATTTCTACTCTTCTCTTAAGGAGAACTTTCCAAACCTGAGGAGACATGCTCAGAAGATGTTGGTTCTCTTCGGCTCTACCTACATTTGTGAACAAACACTTTCAATGATGACGTTTACAAAATCCAGGTATAGATCCTCTCTCACTGATGATCATTTGTCAGCTGTGCTTCGCATCTCCACCTCAGACATTCAACCTGACTTTGATGCACTCGTTAAAGCCCAGCAGAGACTAGATTTCTCTCATTGAATAAGAAAAAAATCGCTTAAAAACACAAAATAAGGTGTTTGGACCACAAATGTAGACAACTAGCAGTGAACTGGGACACTTTTTTTTTAAACCTCTTTCTCAAGATCACAGTTCAGTGATTTTATTTTACAGACAATACTGTGTGTCTGTAGAATGCTAAGAACCTCTTTCCAACAATATTTGAAACTCAGAATGTGTTTTGGAGTGAATATGACTGAAAGTGGCCCTTGACCTTCTGTTGGCATCTGCAGGTGGCCTTAATGCACATGAATGACCTCTTAAGCCAGATGAAGGCTGAAGATGTCAGTGCCACAGCAGGCTTTGCCTTCTGGGATTGGGTTACCTCTGGATCTTGGTTTCACTTGATGTTTCAATATTTGATTCCTGTTGTGATCTTTCTCGTTATTTTAGCTGTATTTGCATGTTGCATTATGCCATGTGTCACGATTTGTATTAGCAATATGATAAATGTTTCACGTGTACAGTATACTGCTTTGTTGACTTCTGAACCTGCCAGACCCAGTGGTTTTGATGTACCTGATTTGATGATGTCCCCTTGTCCAGACTTTAAATGATGATTTTTGTATTACACTTGGTCTGGAATGATTCTTTAAACAAAGTTATCAGAACTGAGATTACGATCTGTAATAGACGTACAAATGCAGCACCTCATGCTGTATTCTCACTTCATCATGTTGATTCTGAACCTTTCATGTCCGATCATAGTTTTTTATTATTTTTCTTGTTTTGATGCTTATCATCTTTGTCTTGATTTGCTTGATTTATACCCTATTGGTCTTTATGACTACTGAGATGATCACCTTTCCTGGTTTTACCCTTTCCCTATTCCTTAAATCGGGATTAATGAAGCTTTCATAGAAAATGGTGACAAGTTATGAAAGTGGATAAAATTTCATGCATGTTATGTAGATATCCCATAAACAGGGGGGAATATGTTATGTAAATTTTATGTTTATTATTTCTTCATCATTGATTCAATCAACTGAATGTATTCTCATTTTGTTCACACACCCACAATATCCTGTGTCCATTCACACACACACATGTCCATTTTTACACACACACCTTCTGTTCTTTTCTTATCTCATGTTATAAACTCTGAGAACAGGAGCCCGGGGCAGTTGCCTCGTGGCTCCTGCCCCATCATTGCAATTTGGAGACTTGTTTGTCTATCTTTCTCTTGGCTGCAGGTTCTGGGTTATTGATAAAATCTATAACAAACACATAGTCAGAATAAAACCAAGAAGCTTTTCCATCACATATTCTTAACATATTTCTCAATAACAGTCATCTTATATTGTCTTTTAAATAATAATAAACTAGCAGCAATCGTTAAGTTGTCATCAAAACCATTCCAAAGCTTAATACCATTTCTGGATATGCAGTGAGTTTTGAGGGTTGTGCGGGCACATACCACCTTGAAATTATGTGATCCCCGCAAATCGTATCCACCCTCCCCATCGAAAAACAGCTGTTGAATATTGATTGGTAATTGATACTGTCTTGCTTTGTACAAAATTAGCATTGATTTTAGGTTAACTAGATCATCGTTTTAAAATTTTAGACTTTATGAAAAGTGCATTAGTATGGTCTGTGAAACCAACATTACATACAATCCTATTTGCTTTTTTTGGAAGTCTAAATACTGCCTCCAAATGGCTACTGTATGTAATACCCAAGCCCCCATAATTCGAGTAAGGTCTAGCTGCGGACATAGCCCCGGCCAAACACGCCCCAGCCAAACAGAGAGGGTGCTCGCTGCAGAACCACAAAGGCGGAGCTGCATCATAAGGTGGAGCTGCACCAGAGTCAGCCCCGCCCATTCACGCAAACTCAGCCTAGCCCACTGACTTCCGTTTTTGTTTTCAACTTTATCGCAAACTGACCTGACCCACATGAATTACGGCTGTTACTAGTTTACAGTCGTTAATGCTATGTTCTATGCTCCAATTAAACAAGATAAATATAACTTGCTACATGACAAAGACTGAATATATCTCGAAATGAAAAGGTTTCTTTCAGCAAATATCTGCCCACAGCCGGTCTAACAGAAATGGTGTATAACAGCATTACAGACTTTTGAATGGGCTTTGGTAGTCTAGTGGTGAGATTGTCTGAGTTAAGTTTTGCTTTCCCCTCAGCTGATGCTGGTTCGATTCTCGGTGGGGTCGTCAGCAATCTATTTAGCCAGCTGAAACATTTAATTTGTTTATATTTTAGTTGTAATGTTTATTTTCAGCAAAATATTTATGTCTGTAAAAGTTCTTTGAATTTGGTCGTTCCTAAACAGCATTTTAGTTGAAACTATGCTCACAAATGGACTCACACTGGCTAAATAAACGAATAAATAAATAAAAATAACACATTAGTCATTATATGTTAAACTGTATACCAGTAAATTGTTGTAAACATAGTACTGGCAAGTGTAGCTAGAAATGAAGAAAAGAGGTTGTACACTACCTAAAACTTACAGTAATAGGAGGCGAACCTGCACAAAACTGCATGTAAACCTGACTCCATAACCACTACACCACCACATCTGTTATAACTCATGCGGCGTTACATCTAATTGTGCTGCCTAGTGTGTCTCTGAGATGGGTTGTATGGTTTTTCGGCGGTGTCTCAGTAGAGGTAATTTCAGAAATAATTTGTCAGAAAATTCACAGAATATCCAGATTTGAGAACCAAGACCAGACCCGCTTCGGGGGAGGAGACCAAATTGAAGCTGAGATGGGAGGAAAATGCATGAATGAGGCTAAAAATTGCTTTGGCATGCTTCTTATGAGGAAATGACAATATAACATGATTAAAAGTTCCAAAAGTTAGATTTTCAATTATATGGAACCTTTACAAAAACTGTTCAATTAACTTCTCAACTCCATCCTCAATCTTGCATTTTTTAGCTATAACACCCTCTTTGGTTCCAGAATGCTATCAAGTCTGACAACTGGAAGGAATTGGACTGACTCTGATGGAATGGGCAGGGCTGATTCTGGAATGGGCGGGGCTGACTCTGGTGCAGCTCCACCTTCTGGTGCAGCTCCGCCTTTGTGGTTCTGCAGCGAGCACCACTTGGCCAAACACGCCCCTGGCCAAACACGCCCCCGGCCAAAACACGCCCCCGGCCAAACACGCCCCTATGTACAAAATACGCGTGCATGTACGAAGACGAGAACTCGCATGCGTGTTGCAAGAGATGGAAATGACGGTTCAGGTAAAGACAGATTTATATTTTTACAACTTGCGAAGATTTTGTACTAGAAATTAGAACATTTAAGACAGTTTGATAGATAGCGCATTCGTAATTTTTTTCTGAAACACTTATATAAAATTAAGCATTATTGGCAGTGGGGGAAGACGTCATGGACGCAAATTTTTTAATATAATTTTTAATGGGCTACATGCAAGCCTTTTGGCCAAAATAAACGTAACAATAGGCTACTTATTTGACCGTTTATGACTCCTCATCTAATAAGCAGCAAACTCATGATGGCAATGTGGTAGCCTTAAAATTGTCGCGCTCAGACGTGTACAATTTGATAAAACATGTAACAGAAAATTCCCTTTAAAGCCATTCAGATATATTTTTACATGTCACCATAGATTTTGTACTAGAAATTAGAATGTTTAAGACATAGTTTGATAGATAGCGCAATCGTATTTTTTTCTGAAACACTTTTATATAAAATTAAGCATTATTGGCAGTGGGGGAAGACGTCATGGACGCAAATTTTTTAATATAATTTTTAATGGGCTACATGCAAACCTTTTGGCCAAAATAAACGTAACAATAGGCTATTTATTTGACCGTTCATGACTCCTCATCTAATAAGCAGCAAACTCACGACGGCAATGTGGTAGCCCTAAAATTGTAGCGCTCAGACGTGTACAATTTGTTAAAACATGTAAGAGAAAATTCCTTTTAAAGCCATTCAGATATATTTTTACATGTCACCATTTACATGTATTATAGTTTTTTTGACAAATAGTTGCGTGCAGCATCCAGGAAATATTAGTCTGACGGTAACGTGGTGTCCATGACAAAAAATGGTCTTGGAAGGACAGGTAAAAATAAATTGTAACCTAACTTTTCCCTAAAGTTAATTCAGATATATTTGTACATGCCCACAGTTACATGTGAAATTGTTATTTGACAATTACATGTGTAGTTCAGCAGAAAGCATCCCAGCAAATATTGGTCGGACACGACGTCACGTCCATTGCCAGAAGATGTCGCCATGGAACGGCTTACATTGGTAAAAAAAAAAAATGTCACTGAACCTAGAATCGATTCAGATACATCTGTGCTTTTGTGTGTGTGTGTGGGGCTGGGTGGGGGGCGGGGGGCGTGTTTTGGCCGGGGGCGTGTTTGGCCGGGGCAATGTCCGCAGCTAGGTATTATTGCATAATTCGGGTCTGAAAATGAAGCCAACACGGAAGTGACAAAATTGCAGTTCCACCCTCCTCCGCTGGGGGCTGGTGTCAGAAGCGAGCAAATTACTCCCATGTTAAAAATATCAATTTCACAGCAGAAATAAACATGTTTACAGCCTGGTTCCAAAACATGTTTTAGGTTTAATAGATCTAGTTTACACTCATGACAACTCTGAGGGGGGTGAATTTTTTGTCACTCTTCTGTTTAATGCCTAAATGCCTAAAATTCTGAATAATTAATGAGCATCAGACCCACGTGACCGCAGAGCTAGCTCCGGCGAAAGGCCTCAGCCTGAGCCTCTGTCACAGTTTGCCTCCATCTACTGGTGAGGTGTGTCAGCTCTGTGTTTGCAGGAGGGCGCGGCAGTCATCTCAGCTGTTGGGAATTCCACTAATTAGAGATGCAGTGGATTTAAGGAGTGGCGTGACTCAACCCCAGTGCTGGTTGATACTCTCACATGGTATCTTGTTTCTGCACCACCTACCTTGCCTCGAGTTGTCACACGTCTCGTCACTCAAGGTTCCTCTGGCCTCCTTTCTCCACTCCTGCCCGCCTGCCCACGCTCAGAACCATCTCACCAGTTCCAACCTCTTCCAGCTCGTCTCCGCTCTAATCCTGGTTTTGGACCGTAAGAACTTTTAATTACGGACTCATGTTCTCCTGGTTCTGGCCTCGCTTACCTTTAGTTCTTATCTTCATCCTGTTCACAGAAGCAGCGCCCTTAGTTCTAGTTCTTATTTTTCATTTCACCTTAAAAGAATAAAACATTTTTGTATTTTTTTTTTACCTCTTATGTGATTCTTCATGTTCCTGGGTGAAGTACATTACCCACAACATGAC